GAAGACGTAGCGCAGATCACCGCCCTGATACCCAAAGCCATAAAATTCGCCTACGTCGACGAAGCAATGCTCCAAATCAACTTGATGGGTTCAGAAGACAATCTGCACGGCAGACGGACAACCGACTTTGCGATTCTCGAACCCGAACCGGATAAAGGCGAGCATAAAGAGGTGCTGCTGTTTGAATTCATCGATGGCGACTTGAAGCGCCAGGTCCAACATAAGAAAACGGGAGAGCCGACGAAGGCTACGACGAAATTGAGGAATGAGGATCTCAAGATGCCGGTGTATAGTCAGAAGCAGATGATGAATCTGATTGAGAAGAGGAATGTCAAGTTTACGTCGGCGGTGAATGCGTTTTTGAATCAGTGTGCTGAGGAGGGGGTGGATTCGGTGGAGAAGATCACGGAGGTTTCGAAAGCGTTTGTTCCTGTGGAGACAGCGAGTCGGCATTCTACACCTGGCCCGGACAGAGCGCTCATACCAGCTTCCATACCCGCGGAGCGGAAACCTATTCCCGATATCCTGAACGAGATCAAGACGATGGAGTGGTATACCGGACAGATTGTGCCAGACGGCCACCGTGTTTTCGATCCTCAAGAAGCTGTCTTCGGCGACTTGAACTTCGCCATGTCGCAGAACCTCGTTAATGCGCTGTATAACACGAGGAACATTACTCAGCTTTACGCTCACCAGGCGGAGGCTATCAATAATCTTTACGACGGGCACAATGTGATTGTATCTACATCGACAAGCTCTGGTAAATCTTTGATTTATCAGATACCGGTTTTGCATCAATTGGAACAGGAGCCTAATACGAGGGCTATGTATATTTTCCCGACGAAAGCGCTCGCGCAGGATCAGAGGAAGAGTATGAAAGAGTTGCTGCGGTTCATGCCGGGGTTTGAAGAGGTGCTGGTTGAGACATTCGATGGCGACACCCCGATGAGTGATCGCAACTATATTCGAGATGAGGCACGCATCATCTTTACGAATCCGGATATGCTACACATCACTATCCTGCCGCAAGAAGATGCCTGGCGGACTTACCTCCAGAACCTACGGTTCGTAGTGGTAGACGAATTGCATGTATACAACGGACTGTTTGGAGCACACATGGCGTTCATCATGCGCCGTCTACGGAGGATATGTGCGGCGCTGGGAAACCGGCATGTCAAGTTTATCTCCTGCTCGGCTACAGTCGCGAATCCTGAAGAGCATATGAAGACTATTTTCGGTGTTGACGAAGTCAAGTTGACTGACTTTGACGGGTCGCCTTCTGGACGCAAAGAGTTTCTGTGCTGGAACACGCCGTTTAAGGATCCTGGTGATCCTACGTCTGGACGCGGCGATTGTATGGCGGAGACAGCGAAGCTGTTCTGTCAACTCATGTTGAGGGGCGTCCGAGCTATTGCTTTCTGTCGTGTGCGGAAGCAGTGTGAAGCGCTGCTTGCTGCTGTCAAGACTGAACTTACCAATCTAGAAAGACCGGAGGTAATTGCTCGGGTAATGTCGTATCGAGGCGGATATACACCGCAAGACAGACGAGAGATCGAGCGAGAGATGTTCGACGGCAAGCTCTGCGGTATCGTGGCTACGAGTGCGCTAGAACTTGGTGTCGATATTGGTTCCCTGGATGCTGTCGTTACGGTCGGATTCCCCTATACCATTGCCAACCTCCGCCAGCAAAGTGGTCGTGCTGGACGGAGAAACAAAGACTCGTTATCCGTTCTGGTCGGCGACTGCTTCCCCACCGATCAGTACTACATGTCTAACCCGGATGAGATCTTCACAAAACCCAATTGCGCACTTCAAGTCGACCTAGAAAACATGCTCGTCCTGGAAGGCCACGTCCAATGCGCCGCCCACGAAATGCCCATCAACGTCTCAGTCGATACCTCCTACTTCGGTCCCCTCCTCCCCAAAATCGCACGAGAGCGCATGCGCTGCGACAAAGAAGGTTTCTACCACGTCAACACACGCTTCCTCCCGCAGCCCTCACGCACGGTCGCAATCCGCGACACAGAAGAAGACCACTTCGCCATCATCGACGTAACGCACGGCAAAAACACCGTGCTCGAAGAACTCGAAGCATCCCGCGCCTTCTTCACCCTCTACGACGGCGGCATCTTCCTGCACCAAGGAAACACATACCTCGTCAAAGAATTCAGCCAAGAACGCATGCTCGCAAAAGTCGAATACGTAAAAGTAGACTGGACAACCCAACAACGCGACTACACAGACATTGACCCCGTGGAAACAGAAGCGATCCGCCGTATCCCCGGTTCCAGGTCGAAAGCTTTCTACGGGCCTATCAAGATCCAACAGGTCGTGTATGGCTTCTTTAAAATTGATAAGAGAAGGCGGATTCTGGATGCTGTGCAGGTTGATAATCCGCCTATTATACTGTTTAGCAAGGGCATGTGGCTCGATGTGCCGAAATCCGCTCTCGATATCTTGAGGTCAAGGAGATTGAACATCGCAGCGGGGATTCATGCTGCTGAACACGCTGTACTGTCTCTCATGCCCAACTTCGTGATTAGCATGCCCGGCGACGTCCGCACGGAATGCAAAGTCCCCGAGAAAGAGTTCCTGGCGAAGGAATCCACAAGGAAAAGACCGGCGCGACTTACCTTCTACGACGCAAAAGGCGGTGCTAGCGGCTCGGGGATTAGTACTAAAGCCTTCGAGTTCATCGATACCCTGCTTGAGCAAGCATGTCAGCGCCTCACATCCTGCCACTGCCTCGAAGGCTGCAACGAATGCTGCAACGACGACGCGTGTAAACAGCACAACCAAGTCATGTCGAAAGCGGGTGCTATGGTGATAATCATGTGTTTGCTCGGCCGCGAACATAAAATCGACATCGATGCGTTGCCGTGGGGAGAAGAGGATGTGGAGGCGGGTTTCGATACGGTGGTTGAGGCTGTGGGGGTGAGGATGGCGGAGGGGAGGACGAGGGATGGGGGTGTTTTGCCCGGAGAGGGGGATGGTGGGGAGATGGTGGATGGGAAGGGGGAGGAGATGGTTAGGGCGAAATTGGTGGATGGGGTTTGGATTAAAGAGGAGGAGGAGGAGGAGGATCATTTCTCGAGGAGTATTCATATGTATAGGGGGGAGAGGACGTTTATTGGGGTGCATAGGACGTGACGGATGAGGGAGTCGCGAGTGTGGTTTTGTGTTGAATGAGCGAGTGTTAGAGATATTCCAGATACTTTTGGTAATGAAGTTTCTACTGATGTATTGTGTTGAAGTGAATAAGGCTTAGGTCAGAAGGGTAGGTTATGACGTTCTCCGCATTATAACAAGGCTGTCAGCAGAGAGGAATAAAGATGGCATTTAGATTAAGCATCAGTCATATTCGTAACCCCCCCGAGAAGAAACTACAACAAGAAAGAAAAGCTAGAGTAGAGAACCATACCAGCGTAACAGAGCAATCCCCAGACAGGAGCTTCCTTGTCCAATTCATGAACACGTCCTTAGACCCATATCTCATACAAGCCCAATCATACAGAAGGAAAACTTCCCAACCCATAAACGCCGCGCAATGCAACACACACCCATCCTGACCATATCCCCATCTTAATTGTACCGCCTACTCTTACTAGCCCACTCCTCCTCCCTCCTCGCCTTCTCCGCCTCCAACTTCTTCAACTCTCTTGCCACACCCCCACTAGCCCTCCACCAAACATCCGTACCCGTGCGAATCAGCCTCTCAGCCGCACTAACCGGCCCATCAACCGCGGGCCTCACATCCAAGAAGAAAACCGGTTGTTCGTCTGCCTCACCCTCGCCCGACGCTTCTGACGCCTCCGGCGCACCCTCATAGTAATCAATAACATAACGAATCTCTTTACACCCCTTCTCATTACAGCGCTCCACAAACCAATCATGGCGATCAAACGGCGGCGCCGTACCGAATTTCTCCGGCATAACGTAACCGAGCCACTGCATAATCGTTGCTTTGGGCGTCGGTTCCGTGGGGCGACCCGTAAACCTGAGTAGTTTCGGGGGCTGCACATCCCTATGATCCCACGTCGTCGTATCAAACGGATCCTCATGCGTGCCGAGTTTGAAATTCGCGACCTCCTCGCCTTGCTTGCATATCTCGTACCCTTCTTTCAGCCCACGCGAAAAGCGGCGTTCCCAGCCCATGATCTCGGCCCACGCGCCCTCGTTGAGGAAATTGTGCACGCCGACCATGCTTTCCACGGCTGTGATGTCGGTGTCTGTGTAGCCTTTGCGCAGCATGGCGTTGTACATTTGCTGCGGGGAGGGGTACTCCCAGAGCGAGCCGTCGCCTTTGGGGATCGTGGAAGTCTCGCGGTCGAGGGGGAGGGTGACGGATTGCGTGGAGGCGCGCTCGTTGGAGAGTTCGGAGAACATGTTGTTGAGGGGGTTGAGGCGCGAGAGGAGGCCTTGCTTTGGGGGTGGCTCGGAGGCGCTGGTGGAGGCATTCTCAGGTGGGACGTAGGGGCAGGCGCCGGCGGGTGTCTTCTTTTCGGCGACGACGGGCGGGACGGGTTTCTTGTGCATCGGGCATTCTGGCTGGTGGGTTGTTAGTGGTAAGTGTGTATAGGGAGTGGAAGGAAGTACTGGAGGTTCCATGCTGCTCATGCTGCCTCGAGGCATGGCGTGCGGCGCAACACGTGCAGCAGGTGCGGTGGGTGCGGTGTCTGCCCAAAACCAACCCATGGTGAGTATGCGTATGGAAAGAGTGGTACGGCGAAAAGAAGAGGCAAGCAAGGGTATATAGGGCTGAAGAAGATGTGACGGGTGGCGGAGATTATCGGGAAGAACAATTTCGTGCAGGGTCCTCGTCGTCATCGCTCTAAGCGCGTTAGGCGTACTCCGATTGGCTCGACACCTCAATGTAGTGAAAGTCGATTTGGAAGCTATATTTGGATTTATTTTGGGTTATGTTCTTGATATCGTGCGCATACGCGCAAATGTTCTACATATCTTGGTCAAGACGCCTTGAAATGTGCTGGACCATATTCTTATGATCCTGCCGCCTTTGCCAACTGACCAGTGCCCCGCGAGCTGAAGATAGCCATGATGCCAAAACTGCCATAGAACAGAACCATTGGGTACGCTACCAGTCCGCGCATGGAAGTCATGCGTCCTACGAGACGTGTTAGTTTCCATCAAAAACCCCATCGGAAGGCTCGACTTACCAACAACGGTAAACATGGAACTAGAGCTGTAGGAACACCATGTGATGGCCAAGCTCGTCAGAAGATATCCAAATAGCCCGTCAAGCGGCACAATAATTCCAAACATCGATACCAGAACGAGAGGAAGCAGACAGTATCCGAGCACCGATGCCGATCGCGGGAACGTTAACGAGGAGCCGAGATGTGAGCCATGCGGGTGACCGTGGTCTCCTGGAGTCGCTTCGACGACAGGCGGGGACATGAGGGAGAGGATCTGGTGGAGGAGGATCGTGCCAACGAACGCCAGGCCTGCCTTGTTAGTTCCTGTCTTGCTTCAAGCAATTATTTGGCTTACCGTAGATGTAACCGAAATGAAGCTTTCCAGACAACTACCCCACGTTAGCTCTCATCTCTTTTCTTGATATCGTGTCTCATACCAGTAACGAAGTCCCAAAGATCAAGAAGAAAAGTATCGGCCCTGCCACATCGCTGTCGTCCATGATATGTTGGTCGATCCGACCGAACGGATTCAGCACAGCCAACGTCTTCATCTGTATATGCCTGAAGTTCACTCCCAACTCTTCCAGTAGCGGCGGCTCTCCATCGTATCCTTCCGTGCCAAAAGCCGCCAGCCACCCCGTCCGCAGCCCCGACACGCCCATACCCATCTGCCCACTCACGCCCGGTGCAGCAAACCCCGCGCCATACTGTGCGGGATACGCTTGACTCGCCGGTGCGCCGTAGTTTGCCTGGAACGGTGTGGAATGGCCAGATACTGGCTGGTTCGAAAATGACGACGGGTAGAATTGGAGGTTTTGCGCATTCCCAGCGCCGTATTGCGGGTTCTGTCCGTAGCCGTATTGCGCCATTGTCTGATATGCGAGTGTGTGAGGTATAGCGACGAAGAGTAGGCTTCGGAGTGTAGCGATCTGGCGTTGGGTAAGTCGTGCAGCTGGTGCCTGGCGGAGGTGGAGCGGACGTGTCTTGGGGATATGTGGTACGTGGAGCGAGAGACGACGTCACTGGGGATATTTGCGCGGAAAGGACAGATTGCGTGAAACGGGGGTGCTGGGTTTGGAAAGCGAGGACTCGCGCGCTGAAGTGGGAAGAAGACGATTGTTTGTTTGCAGTGTTGAGGCTCAATCTGGCAGCCACATGTCATCGTGTGCATCGGCCCTGGCCAGCCGTCCACAGGCCGATGGGGGCTTGGCAGCGACACGAGGATCCCAAGCAAAGTTAACGCTATGAATATTTATATTTAACGACCATGTCTAAGCTATAGTTCTACGAAGCTTGTGAATGTTTACTCGTTGCGTTTCTCATCCTCAACAGGGGATTAACGTAATACACGGGGGTCCGCTAACTGGAGCGGTTCTCTGGCGAATATAACGCAACGGCTTGAATCCCTCCTGCATCACCCAGTCGAACCCAATCACCGTACCCTCTTCATTGCGTATGAATACCAGCAGAAATTGCTCGTAGCTCGAGTAATCTACCATGCATCCCAGTAGGATCTGGTTCGCGTCTTCCGAGAAAAAGCTAAACGTGTCGTTGTGATAGTGTTGAAGGTGACGCCGCTGCGTATCATTACCATTCCGCCTCATCTCCAACTGATGGGTCTCCCTGTTCGTGTGCACTTGAATGAGTCCACATATATCATCGTTACAGTAACTGCCCCTGAAGCCTCCGAGCTCAGGCAGGCCCGTTCTTGGTCTGCGGTTCCGATGCCAGTCCGCTCGCATCTTCATATGAAGGCTCAGACTACTGATGGATGCCTTCTTCGCCCTCATTTCGAAATCCACTTCCGGTTTCATGTCGAAGAGTGATTGAACGAGCATCTGAGCCACAAGATCAGAGCAGTCTCCAGCGCTCTGCGCGTTCGTTAGGACCACTACAGCTGATTTGGTCTCTGGGAAGAGGTAGATCGAGTTCAGGTAGCCAGTCACTTAGCCTCCGTGGTATAGCGTTAGTCGCGGCCGCGATTCTCGACCGATGATATCGTCTTTCTGCGGCCCGTTGGTGGAGAGCCACCCGAGTTGTGTCGAAGGGATCATGTGTCTTGCCCATCCAAATCCATAAGTGTTCTCGTTGACGGTGTCATCTGTGACGGGGAATTTCTGGGACGTGATTTGACTGATATGCCTGAGCGGGTTCATCAAGCTGGTTGAATTGTTCTTGTTCCCCGCTTTCTCTTCATCCAAGCGTTCCATCACTGCTCGCGACCAGATGAGCATATCTGGGATGTTCGACCACATCGCCATTGCCGCTCCGCAAATAGTCCTGTCTGAAACTTGAGGCGCAGGTAAACGCTCTGGACCCGCAACGTTGCAATTTCCATCGCCCAGGACTATATGCGGCTCAGCCAAATTACCGCCCTGAATGTCGTTTCGCGAACAAGTCGATCGAGTCATCCAGAGCGGATTGAAGATCCTCCTTTTTACGAACCGCCCCCAGCCGCCGCCCGCGGAATCTTTACCGCCTACAGCTTCAATCACTTTACCCGCTAGGGCGTATGGCCAGTTGGAGTAATGAAATTTCTTTCGAAAGGCATCGTCGTGAGCTGGCATGTTGGCAGTAATCTGCAGTAAATGTTGTGGAAACATCAGTGTCTCGCCGAAGGATCCGTACCACGCGATATCGAGCTGAGGAAATCCGCTGGAATGAGACAGAGCGTCTGACAAACTCATACGCTCGCCTATGACAGGATTCTTGTTTTGGGTAAAGGGTATGTATGTGGATAGCGGTTCGGTCCAGCTCAGTTTGCCCTCGTCGACGAGTATACCACAGGATGCGGCGATGAAAGCCTTGGTGAGTGATTCGATCATGTAGACAGTGTCATCATTGACCGGGCGACCTGTTGATGTATCGGCGACTCCTCGACTATACTGCATTATGTTCTCGCCCTCGTGAATGACGCCGAGGGAGACAGAAGGACATCCGGTGATTTCCATCAACTTCCAGATTTTAGGTAGACAAGCCCATAATCTGTTACAACATCAGTACAAGTCCTATCATATTATCGGTGTCGGCAGAGTGACCATACCTGTCCTCTGCTGCGGGACGATTATACGTTGGCTTTGCTGCGGTAGGATCCATGACTTATCCGCGGATTGATAGTGATAGTGATAAAGCGATCCTCGGTTTGCGAACACTGAAGACAGATAGCTTTGCTGGATAAAGTATCGACCAAACAATAAACGCAGGTGAAGGTGAGGAAGTCGAGGACGACAACTGCGGACGTGTTGACGTGCCGCGGATAGGCGACAACACAAACAGGCAGGAGCGTGTCTGCCGAAACGTGCTAGATCGACCACGCCCATATCCTGCATGATAGGTGAAAGAAGGAACGAATGATCACACAGCAAAGCCGCACCGCAGATTCGATGCTAGACAATTGCGCATGCAAAATGTCATTTGCATATTTCGGAGAAGTAGGTTCGGGAACCGTGTTCATAGATTTGAGGGGGGTATCTAGTCCTAATGCTAAGAGGGGAGGGATGTCATAAATCATAAATCATAAATCCAGCCATAGCTGTGGTCGCAAGCGATACGTTTGCTGTTGGCCGAGGAGGTATCCAAGCTCTACTCAAGCGACGAAAGCCAAGTTCAATACATTTCCCTGGTCCTTCGTGAAGTATAGTTGCACCAGTCGCACTGTAAACGAGTTAGTTGATGTTTACACGCCTCATCGCACCATACTAACCAGAGTGTCAGAAGACGCGTCGTTATCCTCACGGCAATACTCGTTGTTGCATTTCCTGCAGGTGCGGATGAAAAGCTCCTTACAGCTTATGCAGGTATGGCCACAGCCAAAACAGTCACGTCTTACGCCGATAACCTGTGTTTCTTCACGTCAGCATACTTCTTGACCAAAGAGTGAGCACATACCTTGGCGCGCAAGTGCCAGTCTCCAGGTGCAATTATCCAATATAGCCAGGCTCCGGGTTCCGGAATCCAACTACATCGTAACGGCCTCAAGGTAGCATCGCTGCTCGCGCGCCAAGGTAAGTCCTTCATCCCCACATCCCGTCGCTACCGGCTCCGGCCATCATTTCCTCACGGAGGCAGTGTTCCACGCAGAGGCCCATATGTACCTTGATGGTTTGCTTGGGGAGCAGTTGACTGGTCCCGTCGGGTTTGAAGCTCTCGGTGAGCTCCGTCTGCTGTAGCTCCGTACGCTGGGCGGTAACCGATCCAGTGTAGCAGTTCTCATCCCACCATTTGTGACATCTCTCGCACCAGCGTCCTTTCAGGCAGTCCTCGCATCGCACTATGAGAGGTGGAGGGGCGGATCCGTCGAGAGTGTGTGGTATCTGCGCGGCGCGTACGGAGGACCCATGAAGTGGTACCGGACTGAGTAGCGGATGATGCGACGGACTGGAGTCGCCAAACACTGCCGGGCCTTCTGGAGAGGAGTGGCATGTCTCGCAGCCAGACGGACCTAGCGCTACAGTGGCTACTGTAGGCCGCAGGAACGAGGATGGATGGGGTGCGCCATCTGCAGTCGCGTCTCTGACGTACGCCTTGCTTGGGTCATGGCGTGGTCCTCTGCACAGAACGGCGTCGAAAGCGATGATGCCTTCGCACGCCTGGAGAATCTCTGCCCATTCCGGCGACGGCCGCTTAGGTATGATCTTGCCAGAAGACTGGTACCACTTGTCCTCGGTCCGCGCCAGTACAGCTTCCAAGGCCTGCTGCGACTTCTCGTTCCATTGCGCCCCTATCTGCGCCCCTTGTGAAGTCGTCACGCCCTTGGGAATATGTGGGGAAGGCTTCTTCGTGACGGGCGACGCAGGGCGCGGTGTTCGATCGCGGGTGCCAAAGATGTAGATGCCTTTGACTCGAGGGGTGCCCGCAGGCCTGGACGGTCGGACCGCATATCGCAGGTATTGCTGAAGCTTCCTCTCGTTCAAATGTTTGGCTTCGCGAATCGAGAGTATGCGGACGTTGAAGCGTTCCTCAGTAAGCAGTTCCTTGACCAGTTCGGCTGTTACGCTGAGCCCGTCTAGTACGAGTGTGTGGACATTGCGCAAGACGTGCAGCTTCTCAAGTCTGTTGAAGATATGACGTAGAGGGCCGCTGTAGAAGTCGTCTTCGGTGAGGGCTTCGTCCATGCGCTCAGCACGGAAACTGGTACCGCCGATATCAAGAGGTCCATCGAAGGGTACAATAGCAGACTTCACCGGAGAGAGATCCAAGTAGCGAAAGGCCTCTGGCGACTGGAAGACAACATGGTGTAGGGATTTGCAAGTTCGCGACAGGTTACGGAGAGCAGATATTGGCAGGTACGGGGCAGTTTGGCGCAGGATCAAGGTGTTGGAAAGCAGGTCCGCCAGGGATGTAGGAAGGTCGTCACTGAAGGTAGAAGGGCCCATGGTGAGGGCTCGGGGAATGCAACCAGAGAAGTTTGGCCAGAGGTTAGATGGGTACTCACCGAATCTTTATTACACAGCGCGAGGGCAGGGCGGAGTAGCACGTGCCACTGATCTGACACTGCAGGTGTGTGTTGGATGAGCAAAAGGAAAGACTAATCGAGGTTGAGACGCTGCAGGAGATGGGGTTGTGGGTGCGTGGGATACCGCCGATGCTTCGTTCCCTGCGGCGATCGCAAGCGCAAGACCCTGCCAAGAGGCGTGGTAGCAGGACACGCAAAGCTTCCTGCATAGGACCTGCACGATCAGGCCGCGATGAAGCATAGATTGGAACACGTCTTGCAGCCAAGCCCGCGCTGCAAGTCTTGGTGGTCGAGTGGAAACAGGCTAAAACAGTCGCTGCGAGATGTCAGGTAGGCGACGCGACGCGCAAAGCCGCCGGGGGATGTTCGCCCCACGTTGGCCGCTTAGAACATGAATCGACATATCGAAACTCACCGGAGCATTGGCATGGACGACACAGATATGGTTTAGGTGCCCGGAGAGATTCTCGCATCTTTGTTGAGACGCGTACTTCTGTTGATCAGTTATGATGAATTGTTCAAACACGTCTACACATATATGGGCTGTATGTTGCGAGATACTCAGGTATGCTCGTGGCTCTATCGGTGTGTCTAAGAAGCTTAGTCACCGTCTCGCAGTTGTATCGGGAAACCATCGCTTGCACTGTGAAAGATGGTAGACCAAATATAGAATATACATGACGACTAGGATTGGTGAAACTAGACTTCTGCTGTATACTTTCAACGGTGGCGGCATCTTCACGCGTTACCACGCGAGGGTTATCGATAAGCCAAGCGGGCCGAGGCGAGAGCAGCGCGATGACGCCAGGCATTCACCGAAGCTTCGAGTCGCGAGGCGCATATGTCAGCCATTCCACGCCTCTGAACTACGACGTACCATCATACATGTGTTCCCACCACAGTCATTACCTTCACCTTTCTGTATCTGACGCAAAACAACCATGGACCCGGAAGCAGAGCCAACAGAGCTGAAGTGGTCCGCGCAATACGAACTCGCACATGCGACGCGAAGCACGCTACCCGGCGACAAACTACTCCTTCCCCCATCAGCGTTAGAGCAGCTCCTTGCCGCAGCACCTGTCGTTCACGTCGACGCGAATCGACCGCACATCACCGCTTTCGATCCTTTTAACCCATACACCTTCAACGCCGAGCGCCACGCACGAGCACAAACGCAGGACCGCTTCCAGCAGCTGCCCCACCCGCTTACGTTCCGCTTGGTCAACCCGGATAATGGCAGAGTTGTACATGCAGGCATACGCGAGTTCTCCGCAGAGGAGGGCGAGGTTGTACTGAGCAGTTTTCTGAAAGAGGCATTGGGAATCAAGGAACAATCTGCGGAGCCTTCTAGGAATGCCAGCCCGAATGGTCAGGATGAAGATGACGTGGCTATGTCGAATGGAGCAATTCCTCTGGGGACAGAAGGTGCTGCATCTACAAAGATCACAGTACATGCCAAGCAATTACCAAAGGGCACCTTCGTAAAGCTACGGCCTCTCGAAGCTGGCTATGACCCGGAGGATTGGAAGTCGCTACTGGAGGAACATCTACGGTCCAACTTTACAACCTTGACGAACGGAGAGGTCCTGGCTATAAATGGTGGTCGAGGAGTTGATGGCAAGCGCGAGGAGTTTCGCTTCCTTGTAGACGGCTTCAAGCCCGAAGGAGATGGCATTTGCGTAGTAGATACGGATCTGGAGGTGGATATCGAAGCGTTGAATGAAGAGCAGGCACGCGAGACGATGAAGAGGATAGCTGCCAAGATGCACCGCGCCCCTGGAACATCACAAGGCAGTTCCACCGGCGGTGCGGTCGACATATTCAACGCGCAACCTGGACAAGTGCTTGACGGCGAGTACGTCGACTACGAACTGACATCCTGGGACAGATCTCAGGGGCTGGAAATCCTTCTAGACGAAGTAGAAGACGGGGATGAGATCGACCTGTATGTCAGTCCGTACTCTTCACGACAAAGAGTTCGCCCACGAGAAGAGGAGCATGTTTTTGCGAATATAAGAAGTCAATATCCGAAACGCATACGACTTCAGCCTACAAACATCGAGCTTGACGATGCGGAAGCTGTATGGATCTCAGTTCATGCATACCCATCTGAGTCACCCTCAAGCACGCCCAAACCCTTCCGTCTGAAGGTGTCGATTTTCGACCCCAAGACAGAAGGGATGGATGGGCTGGACGAGGCCCTTGAGAATGCCAAAGCGGTGGGACCGGACGAAGTGATCTGCAAAAACTGCCAACAAGTAGTTCCTAAAGGCTCACTATTCTTGCACGAGAACTTCTGTCTAAGAAACAACATCCTTTGCCCCCAAGGCTGTGGTCAAGTCTTCCAGAAGCGCTCGCCGGCTTTCCAGA